TAGATATAATATATATATATATATATATAAATATATCAATTCCATTTTTCTAATTCTAATGGATTTTATCCTAAATAGCATACATATGACAACAACTGATTTATTGTTTCCCAACATTTTTATTAGTCGCTTATTATACTAATCATATCCCTTAATTCAACGAAAAGATGGCTGACGAAGAGAGGTCTCAAATCGATTCCCAGAAGGGAATGGCAGTTGCTGATAGTGCGATGGAAGATATCATTGATAAGCTTAAACTTCTTGACTACGAAACAGAATTTTGTAATTTAGTGAAGCCTCCGTTTAAATTGCTTGACAAGTTTTATTTCCTTGGGCCTTCCACACTTGACAATCCCAATACTCAGTTCTATTATTTTACTTCATTGTGTGCTTGGTTAATAAAGATGTGTGGTTATGAAATTCCTACCGCAGGCCAATTCGATGACCCCAATGCAACTGCTACAACAATTATCGCACAATTACGTTCTATGAACCTACCTATACCTAATATAGCACCAAATCGTATAAAGCAAGGAAGTGGGGAGGGCGTATTAATCATTTTATCTGTTCTTCTTGATCAAGTATTGTCTAAAAAAGGGTTTTCTTTTCGACTAATTGACTATTCTCAAATTGATAAGTACGATGAACATGCAGATGTACCAAACGATGACGATGTTGTCAACGATACCGTAGAAGTAGAGGACAATATAGTTATAGATAGTGATGATGATGACGATGTTTTTATCCGAGGTTCTGAACAAAAGGATGAAAAAGAGACTACGGGTGTTCCGGTATCTTCGTCAATTAATGCAGAAGAATGGAACTTGGAAGTAGAGCGTGTTGCACCTTTTTTACAAATAGAAAATGAAGTGTCTGACAACTGGCGCTCGCGTATAGAAAGTGCCACTATTCTTATGAAAGCAGTAGAAAAAATTTATCCAGAGACCAGACAAATGCTTGAACGCTTGAGCGAGGATATGGATAAGTCAAGAGATAGAATCCAAAAGAGGGAACAAACTCTTGCTCAACAGTTTTCCGAACAGGTAGAAGAATACCGTGTTAAGCTTCGTGACTTCAACATTTCCCTTGACGCTGCTAATTTAGTAAGCCAAAGCGTTCAACAACTTACGGTCGAACTCAATCAAGTCAGTGAATCATTGGATCAAACGAAACGAAATATTGAAGATCGTGAATCGAAAATATCCGACACAACTCCTTTGATGAAAGTAAAGGAAGGTCTCAGTAAGGTGCAAGCTGAAATTAAGCAAATGACTTTGCGGATCGGTGTGCTTCAGCATGGAGTACTTCACTATGTTAAGGAACAAACCAAGGTGAAACGTGAGGGATCTTTTATCCAGTATGAAGATGAAATTATGCTTGATCAAGAATATTCTTATTATTAAGTTTATTCCGTATTTCAAAATATTATTATTATTATTTATTTATTTACTTCAGTCATTACGATACTACGATTTTGAGTTAAAAAAATTGTATTCTGAATAATTTATATAAAATAAGTGATGGAAAAAAGATGTACTAGGAAATTTTATAGTGTCTCTAATGTATTTCTAGCACTGCTTTCACAATCTAATAAAAATAGCTTATAATGGTATTATATATTTTTTTTTAGCTTCCTTATCTCGATATATTATTGTTCCCTATATTTTTCTACTTTCAAAGGAAACCCATAAGATAGAGTTGTAAGAAGAACTGAATGAATCTAAAGCGAACATTATAAAACATAGCTATGCCTAAGAAAGCAAAAACGTCAAAACGTACTAAAGAAATTTCACCCAGTTTTCCTCTTAAGTATGATTTAAAAGCAGCTACAGAGGGTATATCTTCTGCTTTAAATCTTACATCTAACTCTTCTGCATTACGTCGGCAGCAACATCGGGAAAGGTTGAACGATCTTATAGAAAGTGTGCTGACAATGGAATCAGATAATTTTATCCACCAAAATTCGAGTGAATTGCAATTAGACAATTTTCCTATACTGCAAGTGGGTTTTGTTGCCCGTGCTTTGGGGCTAAACCTTACCGATAAGCAGATAGAGCATATCATTGAGCTTATTCAAGATAGTAATTTTTCGACTGAGTATGTTAGTCGAAAACTTCTAGAGGAAGTAATTCTGGAGGCCTTGGCGACGGGTATACTTGGTGGACCAGTTCTGGTAGAGAAGGGAATTGTGAAGGAACTTAAGCACCCACCAACTTGCTGCATTCGAGAAGATGAGGAAAGAATTTTCCAAGCCTTTTGTACTCTGGATTCACAAAAGAAAGGGTATCTTGAAGACAGGGAATTGAGAGCGCTCTTAGAGTCAAAGGGAGAGATAATGTCTACTAAAGAGATTGATACCATGCTTACTGCCCTGGTGGATAAGGAAGGTGGGTTGATTGACTATAAAGAGTTAGCTAGTATTCTTGCACACGAGTGAAAAAAGAGCAATACTAATAAACATGTGCTAACTAGCACAACTTATTTCTTTGCATTGTCAAAGGGGAAAAGACATGATCAAAAAGTACAAGATGACGTATTTAGATTCCCTTGTCTTTTAAACTTGCTTGTTGACAGAATCTCATCCCTTTTCTGTACATTTGTCATATGTATATAACTGAGATACAACGCCTGTGAATTTACCCTTCGTTTGGAATGTAAAAATATCACAAAAAGTTGAACTAAACATCCCAACAAGCGAAGTGGGATGATGAATTCTTATCATTATTATTTTACTTATCCAAGAGTTTGCACACTTCTTTATTTCCCTCACTCGAAAAAAATTATTTTTATTTTTTAGCTTTCCTTTTCCCAAGAACTGTAGGTCTATTTATGCAGAAGCAATAAATACAAAAAGAAATCGAAAGTATCAATCCTCAAAGGGGTACTATTTTCATTTTTGTATTTCAAACTCATACACATATTTATTTTCATTTATATAGAAACACAAGCAACTTCATAAAAAAAATCCGAAATGCTAAGAAGAGCCATTGCTGCTAATTCAATTTTGGGCCATCCATGCGCTTCTATTGGTACCACCTTAGGTGTAGCCAACAAAATACAGCCCTTTTCTTCCAACTACAATGACTCAAATCGTCAAAAAACACAATCTTATTATTCGAGTCGTACTGCAGCGCACCATCAGTCTGCAGTTAAATCCTCTTCAGTTGCTATGCCGCAGACAACAGCATACAAAGAAGCCAAACCAATTAAGGAGACCGCACCAATTACTCATCGTAAGATCTACGACCTAAACGTTGGAGAGGTAGGATTGGAAAAAGATTACAATACCGATAACCATGAAGAGGTCCCTTTGCAGCGTAACGTCAAGAATCAGACCAAAGATTTCCTCAAATCCAAGCCGCAGCGTCTTTCATTTAAAAGCTCATTTTCTCAAAGCAATATTAATACGATGACTCGAGCTCCAGTGAAGGAATATGAAGAGGTTTCCGAAGCAGTTCAAACATATCGTCCTGACTTTGACGATGAGGAGACCGACGTCACAAAGATTTACAGCAACGATGAAGTGCAGCATCTTGTACAGGGTTCTGATATAAAAAAAGACTCTGTTCATACTTCCACTAAATCGGATTATGTGGATGATTTCAAGGCACTCGTGACCATAGACCAAAGGGCTGACACTGCTCCTAAGAAGCGTGCTGTCGACGCATCGGATGATATTTTAGTCGTCAAAAATCAAGCAAGCGAAGAGAGAGTTTCTTCCCGCGCACGAGACGCCGAGTATCTAGATGACGACAATGAGGCTGACAGTTTTGCGTCTGTCTCTCAGCAGCCTTTTTTTTCTGAGCTCATTCGATGCGTTGAGAAGAATATGATGCGTTACCGAAAGGAAATACGCCAAACCAATCGCTACAGCCTAGATTTGATAAATGATTGTGTACGTCCACTGTTGCAGCTTACGGACTTTCCTTTCACTGCTTATAAACTTACCGATCTTACTAGCAGTATTAATCCTATTATTTTGAAGAGATCACTGGCTGACTATGCGGCTTGTAAGCGTCTTCATGTCTACCGCTCCGAGGATACGGAACTTTTACTGGATTGGTCTGTCGAAGACTTCCTTCGAAGGCGCTACGAAAGTATCCATCTTTCGTGGGAACGCATGAATGTTGTATACCGTCGCTTTGGTTGGAACCCAGATATTATTTCCGACCGTGATTGTTTGACATACTTCTCCGAGTTCTCCGAGTTTGTTGAGTTAGCAAAATTGGAAATGACGGTGGATGGAAAGCCTAAGGCTGTTTTGATTACTGACCCCATTGCGTTGGCTGAGAGGAGGCCAATTCCTGCCTCGAATCTGTTGATTCGTCGCCGCTCTAATCCTGGTGTGGAGCCTTCCATTACGGAGTCCGTACGCCTCATGGGGAACCCTGCGATGTTCGATAAGCGATCACTCGCCCATAACGTATACCGTCGACATCCGCGCAACAGTGAATCCGTTTCCAGCATGTTTCAGGCCGTAGAAAAGGCATTGAATGATGTTGAGGGTGATGAAGCTACGAAGTTCGCCCATGCCATCGACTCGGTTCCCTCGCTAAGACAGGCAGCTCAGCCAATTGGTCGCGTGGTAAGGGAATTTTCCATTGGCAAGGTTACCAACGATGAAAAACAATACCCGAGCATGCTTTCTCGTCAGGAGGCTCCCGTCGATAATGTGAAAAATGGAGCTTCGGATCAGCACACCCGTGGTCTGGATACTCTACCCAAGGTCTATGACCCTGAGCTGCATGAATTCTTATCTAATGCATACCACAAGAATAAAGTAGAGATCACGATGCTACGCCGTCGTCTCCTCAGTATCAGCAATGCCGACGAAGCTGCAGAGATTCAGACAAAAATTATGAATTCACGCAACGAGCTAAACTCCCTTATAGACCGGCTGCGCCATATGAGACAACTTAAGCAGGCCGTGAAGCAGGAGCGAGAGAATAACAAAATGAGCGAGAATGTTATTAATAAGGATGACAACCCTGAGTTCTCGGTTCTTAGTAATGAACAGGATTTTCCCGAGGCACCCGAGCATAATTTGTCAAAAAACCCGACCGCCGCTGAAGACATAGAAGATGATGATATCGATATTTCAAAAGAGTTAAAACAATTTGAGTCTGAGGTGGTTGAATCAATGATGAACGCCACTGCTGCTATTTCAACGAATGAGGGGATTGAGTCAGACGAAATAAGTGGGAAACACCATAAGAATTGGAGTTTGAAGGATGATTCAGCCATAGAAGAAAAGGAGGCAGTACCGGAAAGTGATGACATTCAGAATTCTACTCTGGATGCCGTAAACGACACGGCAGAAGACGAAGAAGAGGTTTACGATCGTTGGTGTCGTGAGCAGGAAATGCCGACAAACTCTGAAGACACTTTACACAAGGCGTCACATAGACCATCACCATCATCATCATCCTTTACGCATGACCAAACTGAAGTGAATCCTGACAAAGTGAGCGCCTCTTTGCATAGCGAGAAGTTATTGCAGCTCTGCGAAGAGGTGTCTTCAGCGGCTCAGAACGCACGCAAGGAGATGGACCAGATCTTGCGTCAGAAAATCTTACAAGAGGCTGCTATAGCCAAACAAGTACACATGGCAACCAATAAGGTGACAATGTTGGAGGAAAAACTCGATGCCCTGCGTAGTCGTCATCAAAAGGCCTGTGAAACCGAAGCTCGGGAAGCTGCTGAGGCGAAAGCTAAAGCAGCTGAAGAAGAACTTCGCCATCAACGTGAGCTACGTCAGGTTCAGCTGGAAAGACAACGGGAGCAGGCTCGCTTGGCCCAGCTGGAGGCTCAGAAGGCCCTCGCTCAGCAACGGGAAGCCGAAGAGGCAGTATTAGCTGCCGAGCGGAAACTGCGGGAAGTGCGAGTTCAATACAATCTAACCAAACAAGGCACTGATACCAGTGAGCATACTAAGGAGGCCAATGTATTTGTAAACAGTTCCATAACTGTCGAAAAGAAGAATCAAGCTTCCAACGTAGCTGTAACCCCCGCGACAAGTGAATCATCTGCAGTGAAGTCGTATTCTTGTTTCGAAGAAACAGGAACGAAGGCGCCGAACTCGGCTCCGGGTGCCTTTTTTATGTGCACGCCGGAGCAGTATAACGGGATGCAGCTCGCTGCATCTCGTCTTCGCACCGAAATCGCATGTCTGGAGAAGCAAATGGAGCAGGAGGGCGAGGAAGATGACGAAACGCTTATGACTGTCTTGGCAGCCTCGCGTGCCGATCTTGAGGAACTAGATGCTTGTATATCTTCTGTCCAGCTGCACGCTCCATGGGCCGCCGAGCAAGACGCAAAGCGTGAGCAGGAGAACCGCGCAAAGGACCTTGAAGGCAACGCGGAATCGCAGGGTATTCAAAATCAGATTGCTCAGAAGCGTTTCGAGATCAGTCTTTTGGAGCGACGTCTACACCACGCCTCCGAGCGCTCCGTGATTAACAAACTAGAGCAGGGCATTATTGAAGTGCGTAGGCAAATTAGTCGCCTTCGGGTGGAGCAGGATCGTCTCCGACGGGCTGGCACGAATGAACTTGGTCTTCTACCCTCCATCAGCATTACCAAAGTCCTCGAAGATGAGGTAGAAAATAGTGATGAGGAAATTGAGGATGCCAGCATGACAAGCGAATTCGAGTGCTCCAAGGCTTTGGATAACAACGCCCTCGATGACGATGTCGACACCGCGGGTGAGCTGAACGACAACGTGGACGCTACCGACGAGGAGGATTTAACGGCTCAGAGCTTTGACAACGAGGACGAGCCTGATGTTGACCCCGTCGCGGCATTTGATTTGGAAGGCACTGAGGACGTTAGGGGGGATCAACCAACAGCTAACGCGCCCGAAGAAGAACGGCAGAAGTCTGCCACTGCTAGCGGCAGCCCTCTTGTGGACGCCAACCCTGAGACTCAAAGGCTACACCTGCGTCTTGAAAGTATGCTTCGGGATATTCAGCACTTACAAGACAATATTTCCCTTCAAGAAAGCTCTACCTCTTATGATGAGGATGAAGCAGAGGCTGTGCTGCTTGAAATGCGTAAAAAACTCAGAGAATTGCTTCGGCTACGCGATGATGTGCAAACGCGGCTAGTAGAGGCGATGCCTAGTGGTAAGGATAAGCAGGGATCACCTACCAACTCTGCCGCCGGGGATGCTCCCCATACCCCTCCGGAACCGCCACTCATGGGCTCACGTCTGAGTTCCTCAATAGTACCTTCCAGTTTCAGAACGCTCTCCATACCGATACCACATCTTCACGCCGAAAAGATTCGTGTTGCGTCTGCCTTAAAGAAGATGCAACGTTCCACGCTGAAGGGAAAAGGAAAGCGATAATAAAGTTACTCGCATGCTGAGATGAGCCATGCAAGGATGCATTACACTTTTATAGACTTAAAATCAAGGAAGGTATGCAATAGTGGTGACGTGGACCCTATATAAGCAGCACCTTTAGCAACTTCTTAACGGAAAAGGAAGACCAATCAAGATATTCATGTGCACTTAGCGCAAGTAGTATCCACTATAGAACATAAAAAGTTATGCAGTTTCTATAGAAGCAATTAAAATAATGAATCCAGAATACTATCATAGGAGTGATAGATGACTCGTTTCAAGTCTATAGAGAGGTAAAATTCTCATTAATTTAGTAGTAGAAGAAACAAATGTATTTGCATGCCCTATAGAGGTGTTGCAATAGAGGACTGAGTGAGGTTGAAAAGACACTGTGAAAAATAAAAAAATAATGCATGCAATTTAATAGATTTTATAGTTAGGTGTATTCTTTTTATGCACATTATATGCATCTGGAATGGAAAATTTATCAAGCTCATCATAGAAGTAACGCTTATAACGACATTATGTGTGACTTTTTTTCTACTTTTTTGATTATTCTTTGCCCCTATACAAAGGGATAAAAAAAAATCACGATTGATACTTTATGTAGTGCTGATAAACCGTGAATACAGAACACTTAACCTACTGTTTTTCGATTTCGTGACTTAATGTCTCCGTTGATGTATACTCATATATAGGAAAGGTCGCTTTCATTTTTTAGTGTGCTTTCCAAATAGACCTTATCTTAGACTTCTGTTATCTTTGAAATCTTCGGAAGGGGAATACCGTGGACGAAAAGAATCAAAACGTGCGTTTTTTTTTTAATAGGAATTATTCCTCCATTTTTTAGGCGACACGATAAATGTTCAGATTCAATGTTGCATTACGGAAAAATCCTGTAATATTCAAGCAGGGTCAAGGCATGTTTACGCACCAGCTCAAGCATATTCTTAATAAGAAATCGTTACATAAATACAATTGGGATCCACTTCCCATGTATGACCCTCGCAAGCTTGTGCACTCCAATCGCTACATTGACCATGACACCTATGAAGAGAAATACTCACCATGCTGGATGGAAAATGCATATCTAGTTCCCGATCAGCAATTTTATCACATTCCAGTCCCTTCGGAGTACAAGGACGCATACTGGTGGCGTGATTTGCAGGCGCGGCGCGTCCAGTGTCCAATAGAGTGGGTGAGCCATCGAATGTACAGCAAAAAAGATCGTCAGCTGTATGATTTTCAAGATCTTGCTGTTCGGAAGAAGTTTGAGTATCCTTATGAAGAGGTAGTGCAGAATGCGAAGGATATGAGGAATTGAAAGATAAAAATGGTGAATTTATTTGTTAGTGGAAATGTGCTCTGTTTCCTATTTTCCACTTTTTCGCTCAATAACGAACATACAAATTGATTTTACGTAAAAATATGTGTCAGGTACATATATTTTTTCTTACTAGATACTGTATTTTAATTTATCTATTAAGTAGTTTTCACTCATCACGAATAAAGAATCTATTGTTCTCTTCCTCTTCGTTTCTGATAGCATACATTTCTCTATATAGATATATGCATAGATATTTGCATTTTTCCATACCACTAAAAGAATTTGTGGAGTTAGTTTTAGAATTGTTTGCAATAGAACAATAGAAAAGTCTACTCCAACAATTAAAGACTGTCACATTAGAACCAAAGAACCCCAACTATTCTCCTTCTCCCCTTACAGAAGCACTAGTACATATCCCCGCAAGAGTTTTAGAGGTTAAGGCTCACGATTTTCTCTTTTATTTCCTGAACGTCACGGATTCTTAACTGTTATCTGGCTTTTGTCATCCGATTCCATAACTCATATAGTCTCATAAAATGCCAATAGGAGTAAACGCAGATTATTCTCAAGCGATTGGTAGTGCAGGTCTGCCAGTTCCTTCGGGAGCTGATATCTTATGCACTGATATCGATTTCATTGACAAACGGCGGTTAGGTAGGACGCCACTAAGAAGCATTGCACCTGAATACCCACTCGACCGCACGAGATCCACGTTTTTATCGGATAATGATAGCAATGCGCAACAAACGGAAGGTGTAATTACCTTAGTTAAGCATCTTCAAACAAGGCTTCTACACAGTGAAAACATGAATATCATCAGCGGTGATGATGAAAAAGGAATCACGCATAGGAAGGATCCTATATCAAGCACTGCTACCCCGGTTACCTCTGGTGGTGAAAGTAATACTGAATTCTTAGGTACTTCGTGCAGTTCAGTTGCATACCCAGACCGTTTTTGTGTTAAAACCGTAATAGTCGAAGGAGCTTACGCTATTGATAGTCCCGTTGTGCTGCCCCTGGATACTGCCAGCTCCTCATCTTTATCTTCCAGCAAGACTTCGATGGAGTCTAGGAGAATTCCCAAGACTTATATTTCTTCCATCGCAACCCTTGATGACTACGTTGCCGTCGGTGACTGCGGCGGAAATATAATTGTTATGAAGCGAAGACCAATATTACTGACTCAACGCGAAGGTCTTGTTGATATCGCGCGAGAGGAGGAGGTAGAGGGGTTGGATACATTTTCCTCACCTAAACTTGGTGGTGCCAGAAATGTTGTCATGCCACCTCGGACCAAGGATCCGTATGAATTTTATGTGAAAAAGAAGATCTACGATTCCATGATAGACCCCCTTAGTAGCTTGGAGGTGACGCCAGAGGTTACGGCACTGGCTTTTCTTCCACAAATCGGCCCCGCCGCGTACCTCCTGACGTCGAACGAGAGGATTCCCAAGCTGTTTAAAGTATTCCAGGTTCAGGAGTCCGCACCACGGTTTCGTGCCGTTGATAGACTTGATTCAAATCCCATTGCTCCTCTCATGAGTGTTTCATCTAATCCCACGGTGATAATCAAGCCGGTCTCTCACTACGCCCCTGTACACGAATATACTATCCATTCTCTTCACCCCTTACCAGACAGTGAGCAGTTCATCACAGCTGATGAGCTGACGATGCACCTGTGGTGCATCGAACACCCGGACATGTCCATTGAGACCTTTGATATGCGTCCGTCCTGCGAGGATATGCCGCACGAGACGATTCGTCGGGTGCGGCATTTTCCCCACGAGCCTTTTTTACTTTTTGTCGCCACATCGGCCGGGGTGGTGCGGGTTCTGGATATCCGCCAATCGCTTAGGTGGTGCAATCGGGCGTCTCAACTATTCGTGAATCCTCCGCGCCACGTCGATGATTCGTACAAATATATAACCAACAGCATTAGCGATTGCTCCCTCAGCCCGTGCGGGCGCTACATCGCAGGTAGGGACTTCATGAGTGTATGTTTGTGGGATGTGCGTGCAGCGAGTTCAGCGAATACTGCCGCTTCCATTTCCCGACGTTTTTCCTCTGCATTTAGGACGGATGATGATAATGGGTGCAGTGATAACTTTAAGATCGTGCGAAACTGGGAGCTTTATCCTGGCTTGCATCGAAACCTTGAGATCATGTACCAGTCCGATTTTTTCCTCCAAAAACTTGATATTCAATTTATGAACCCAACTCAAGTGGGAACTGGAGGTTTGTGCCGTACTATATTCACGGTAGATATTAACCGGACTACTCCTGATCCAGATGAGGCTGAGCTTGGTCTCTCGGTAAGTAGCTCAGGTCTAAAAGCGTTGCAGCTGCCAGCAGAAGAAGCGCTCACAGATTTGCCGAAAGCCATCATCCCCACGAATGCATTTGTGAATTTCTCATTTTTCTCTGGTGAATATAAAGGAGGCGAAACTATTACCCCCTGTGACCGAATATCAACCGCACATTTGGATTTAGAATCGCAGGTAACATGCTTGTCTCGTCCTATGATTTCTCCTGGAAGGGTGTATGGCATGCTGGCATGTTGTAGAGGACAAATTATACATTTAAGTTACAGTTCATAGCCAAAAATAGTCGATTTAATTACGATGTATCGGGTATTTTTTTATATATACACTCTCATATTGCTTTCATCAATGAGGAAGGGGAGCCATAAAGTGAAGGGAGAACAACCTACACTCAGTTTTGATGCACTTTTGAAACCTTTTAAAGGGTCCAAATTACAAACCTTCCCATCTGGAGGTTTTACATCCTCTTTCTAAAAGTGTTTTTAACACTTTTCCGTCAGTACCTTGTTTTTATTTAAGCATCACAACTACCATTACCTTTTTCCACCTATTCTTATATATATTTGTCTTTATCTCTGGACTGCACTCACTTCTTATTTCCTTTATTTTTCCCTTCTTTCTTGCTTGGTGCTTCGATTGCATAGATTTAACTCATTGATCTATAAAAATAATACATTAGTCCCTTTTCAAAATCAAATAACTAAATTGATTGCCTCATTATAGACTAGCAAATACAAAATAAGGATTTCAAAACTCATAAATAATTCAATATGCCACGCAAGAATTCCTCTCCCAATCTACGTTCCCGCTCGCGCTCAAAAAGCGTAGGCCGCAAAGCGTCCGTATCCGCTCGCTCTTCTAGTCGCGGATGCACTGCTAAAAACAACGAGAAAGTAGTTACGATTAACTCCAAAGAGTCCCGTTATGTAGATGCTGAGCGCCGCTTCACACCTGATAAAGACCAATGGGATGGAAAGTATGAATTTGGTGGAACGCTCGGTACATTGAGTTTCATAATTTTTTCCCACACCATAATCTACTACTTCTATGTGTGCGTCACGATGTTCGAAGGTACTTTGATTTATCCCGGCCACGCCATGCTGAATGGGAAGCGTATGGATAAGGTGTTTTTTGATTACTTAGCTGAGACAGCTCGCCCGACCTGGAGAGCCTTTGGTATCTTCTGGGCTTTATTGTTCTTTCAGTACGTTCTTGCTGTCATTTTGCCAGGGGTTTTCGTGAAGGGACTGCCGTTGGCATCGGAAAATGGGCACCGTCTTACTTACCGATGTAACGCCGTTTCAGCCTGGTATGTTCTCATCATTACGGCCTCTATCCTGCATTACACCCAAACTTTCGAATTGAATGAGTGGTGTCGATGTTACGGGGAATATCTCACAGCCGCGACCATCTCAGCCGATTTTGTTTCGCTTTGTGCCTTTATAGCCGGATTGAGGCGTTCGATTCGTATGACGCCGAGCTTCATCTACAACTTTTTCAAGGGATCCGCGCTAAATTATCGTCTGCCTGGCAACGTTGACCTGAAGCTTTTTCAGGAATGCCGAAATTCGTGGATGCTGCGTATGTTACTCGTTGTTGGATGCGCCATGGAGCAATACCACGAGCTGGGATACATCACTACCAACATGGCGGTAATCCTTGTGGTTCAGTTCCTTTACGTAAACGCGGTTCAAAAGGGTGAGGTGTGCGCACCCACGACATGGGATGTGTTTTACGAAAAGTTCGGTTGGATGCTTGCGTACTGGAATACATGCGGTCCTTTTTTATATTCTATGCAGGCACTCTACATTCAAAAAGTTCTCAAAGGTGACGAATATCCAAGGTATGTTATGGTTATAATGTTGGTAATTGTAATGATAGCGTACTTTCTGTGGGACGTGGTTGGTTCTCAAAAAACTCGATTCTGTATGCGTCGCAATGGAGTTCCTATGGAAATCATTCGCTACAGAACCTTCCCATTACTATCTTGGCGCTACCTTCAGAACCCTCGAACGCTTAAAAGTGCAAGAGGAGAGATCCTCATCGATGGGTTCTGTCGTTACGGACGTAAAATTAATTACACTTCAAACATAGTGATGTCCTTTTTGTTGTGTAGTTCATGTGGTTTCAAAAGCTTCATTCCTTTCTTTTATTTTTTTATCATTTTTATTTATTTGGTTCACCGTGCATGGCGTGTCGAAGCCCGATGTCAGGCGAAATACGGAAAGTCATGGGATGAATACAAAAGAATAGTTCCCTACTTATTTATTCCGTACGTTTATTAGATAAAAACTATTGTATATTATATCAGGGTTGAGTATTCTTAACACGTATCATCACATACATAGAAAAAAAAATGCAAATTGACGAAGATAAAAGATATGAAGGCTTAATTGCATTATTTTCCATTCTTTATCTTTGTATAATTACTATTGGTATTATATTATTCGAATTTTCACCTCGTTTTTAATACAGTAATTAATAGTAGTGTGAATACTATTAATAATGGTGAAACGAATAATTCAAGTACTTTTCCCCTATATAAAACCAAGAGTATAGAACAAACAGTACCTACAAGTCCTATATAGCGTACAACTAAATGTATAGGAGTTTTGTTTAAAAGCTGTTTTCACAGTGTTATTCCTTACACAAGAGCATATGTGCATGTACGTATATACAGAGTGGGTAGGTATGTTTGTATGGTGATTAAAAGGGGATGAAAGTAAGGTGTCATTAGTTAGATTTATGACAGACAGTAAGTTAACACTATTGTCATCGAAAAAGGATATTCTATGCACGCTCTTCTGTTGGTTGTTTTAGCTTGTTTCTTTTTATATATTTTATCAATATCTACTCATTATATTCATCAAGTAGATCTTATAACTAGGTTTATCATTTTTTTTTTCTGACGTTAGCACGATTATGATTAGTCCTGTATTATTTCCTTTTTAAAAACATATCTACCCCTTTTCTCTTTTCATAGTTGTGCTAATGACGTAATTTTCATCTTTTTACAATCAAATTATATTCATATGAAAAATATATACTCCATTAATCGCAATGTAAAAAGACTGTAAAACATATAATTTCTATTATCTGTACTTTTATCATGAGAAAAAGATAGAAATTAACGACTGAATTTTCGACGATTATATCAAGTCTATTTTATTTTAAAATTTAATGATTTAATTATTACTGTTAGCAACGTTAATTATTAAATTTCTTCTTTTTCGTGAAACTTTCAATAAAGCTTTAAATAAATAAAAGCATGCTACGTAGAAGTACGAAGGTTCTTGACAGTTTTAAAGAACATTATCACCGTGTCCATTTACCTCGACGTATTGCTTTGCAGCGATACAAACGACGTGAGCAAGATCGCCTAAGGAAAGCCCCACACGCTGCAGACACTGGCCTTGCAAATAGTGGCCATGACAGCCCCAACACATCTGGGGAGATTCCCTACAAGTACAATCGATGGTGGGTCACTAATGATCACGAATTCCTGCATCAGTTTGCCGTCGTGGAGGACCCCGATGTTGTTAGAGAGCGCCGCACCACTCTCCCACAGGTAACTAAAGAAAACATTTGGAGAGAACCACAGCAACCCTTTTTCATGCCCTTTGCGCCATTCATTAAAGTGGTCGACTATGCCAATGATCCCGACACGAAGTTTTTAAGACCAGTAAATGTGCCTAGATGGAAAGATTACATGCAACGCACCAAACCGGTCGTCCCTCGAACTTGGTACTAGTTATATCGATGCTGATAATAATATATATATATATATATTGCCTGAAATTGAGATTTCTACTTATTGATGTGTTTTTCTGTGATGAATGAGATAGTCTTCCTCTCGAAATGACATACTTGGTTGTTTTTCTACTTCTAATTGGTGTCATTCACATTATCTACTCTTCTATGCTGTAGTTGTCTTTTTACAACAAACATAGTTTCATCCTCATGCTTCGAGGTCTTGTTGATTCAACTAAGCTTACGGGTGAACAACAGAAGCACATTGACACTCTTCAAGACGAAATAGACGAAATATGGAACCGACGTGGTGACTATAAGATTGACCCAGAGGCCTGGGAGGAAATGCCCATATTTATGGAAACAATCACCAACGAGGATGTTGAAAAAAATGCCAATTGCGCTGCACTCTCCTCCATCGTGTACGACGAGATCCCGCCCGATGAGGTGGCGGAAAACCGAAAGGAGCACGGCAACTGCATGTTGAATCTTGCGCTTAACCCCAGCCAGGACAGACGTGAAAACCTGGCGAGGGCGGCGTGCAATAGCTACACCGAGGCCTTACAGGCGAAAGGAAAGGATATGCATCTCACCGCCATTATCTACAGCAATCGCAGTTTAGCCCAGTTCATTATTGGCAATTATGGTCACGGCCTTGAGGACGCTCAGAGGGCGATTATATTATCACCGGATTACCACAAGGCCTACTACCGCGCCGCGCGGTGCGCAGAACGGCTCGGTAAGTATGACCTTGCGCTTAGCATGCTGTCTCGCGGCAAGCAAGTTAAGCCACCGTTGGATGCAAAGGGGCTGAAAGAATTTGAGGAATTGGAGGAGGTGTGTAATGAAGCCCAATCCAAAGTCGATGCGGAGGAAAAAAGAAAAAAAAGGAATCACGAACCAAAGTGGTGGACACTGTCAGTCTGATGCGCTCTATCGCGTCTGTGGGGATTCGTATCCAACACAAAAGTGAAGTGGAGAGCGAACAAATGGCAATCTATGGTAATCCAAAACCGTATTTTGATACCGAGGGAATGCTTCATGTTCCAATCCTCTTCATCTATGAGGAGTACCAACAGAGTGACATCATGCAGGACGTGTCATGTGACGTGTGCATTGCAGAGCTTCTGGATGAAATGATGCCATTTCCGTGGGATGAGCAGGAACGGTATCGTAGTTTAGACGATATTGTAGTGTACTTCACTATTGATGATAGAATAAAGGAACCGGAGTACCATGTAGTTGATGTAAATCGGCCGCTATTAGAGGTATTTTCTAACGTTAAGTATGCTATGCCGGGGCTTCTGCCTGTTTTACACGTTCTGTGCAAAAGTAGCGAACTATTGGATCGCTACAAGATTATACAGGACTATTAAGGGTAACCATTACATAAGATGGAATACATCAAGCGCCAAGGAAATGCATCGAAGCTCACTGGTGGGTAGTTGTCCCTATATAAGTGATTTTCAATTATTAGTATTATTATTTGATAATGATTGGGAAATTGACAACGCAACTCTTCGTTACCTTTTATCATTATCACCACTAATTGATAATCAACAACAGTAAACATTTTTTCCTATAAATATTGACACCTATATTTCGAGTAATTATTAATTAATATTGTTATATATTAATATATATATATAACTACACTATTCAAGAAGAAGAATCTTCACACTACTCTCTTTGATTACACACTTGTCCAAGGAACATATACCTGAGCTGAGTTTCTTTGCAATTCTTACCTTGTCTCAGACATGTTTTTCCTTTTCAGTGGTATAGTTGTGAACTCAAAGTATACCAAAATGTGAAATAAGAATCACATAAATATTTTTGAATACTTGACTTTTAAATTACAATCTACTCTTTATCATTTCTTTCTTTACCAACCTTTTTAATTTTCATTTCCTTTATCCCTCATTAATTTCTATTTTCAGTCGGCATAAAAGTTCAACTTGCCAGTGAAAAAGATGGTCGCTAAGAAGCAGGTGAAGAAGGTGAGCGGCAGGAAGGCCGAGCGCTCGACCCTGCGCAAGAGCATCACCCCCGGAACCGTCGCCATTGTCCTCGCCGGGCGTTTTCGCGGTCGCCGTGTGGTGATTCTGAAGCAGCTGCCGCGTAATGGGGTGCTGGTGGTCACCGGCCCTATGAAGTTCAACGGCGTGCCGATTCGCCGTATCGATCCGAGCTATATCATCGCCACGAGCACAAAGATCGATATCGCGTCTGTTGATACGAAGGACATCACCCCCGAGGTGTTCGCCCGCCCGAAGGCTGAAAAGCCAGTCAAGAGCGAGGGAGACTTCATGGGCGATAAGCGCAAGAAGGCCGCGGAGAAGGTCGCCAAAAAGACAAGCAAGGCCACCAAGAAGACCATTGTCTCGGATGCCCGCGCGCAGCTCCAGAAGAAGGTGGATTCCGCCCTCATTGAGGCTATCAAGAAGGACAAGCTGGGCTCTGAAAAAGCAGGCTATCTTCGCTCTGTCTTCACGATCAAGCCTGGCGATGCTCCTCACCGCTGGAAGTGGTAAGAGATTTCCTTGAGCTTTTTGAAACTAGCAGGACAACATTTAATTTTATTTCATTTTTTTTTTGGATTAAGGTTCCAATAGATACTATTAAACACTCAAGGGAAATCTTTTGGTTTCCTTTTGATATGGGCGCATGTACATGTCTGTTGCGCCGTATGTTCTATTTTCTTCATTGATTTTTCGCAACTGAATGTTTTTCTCCATGCATTTATCTCTCCATTTTTTTGTGTGCAATTTCCTTTTAAATATAAAACGTTTTTTTTTAAGTTACGATAAAGAAACTACAAACGATCAAGGAACTAAACGGAAAACGACCCAATCAACAAACCATAATACTATTTGCTTACCTGTGTACGTCACTCATCTTGTAAAAAGTAGTAAGAATGAGCAGCAGTGATATCGATGAGTATGATCCTGGCCTGAAGTCACCCAACATTGTGAGCGAAAACCAAGTGAGCTTGGGGGATACTGCTGCACAACACCCTCCCACTACCTCTGATATTTTTACAATGATTCGACTCAGGGAACCAAATACTTCCTCTACCATAGCTTTTACGAAAGCACAAGCGATCAACAACATCACTTTGGACAGTCAGGTGAAAGCTAAGAATATGCGATTTGAAGAAAACAAAGGTGCCTCCGCCTTATACTCCCAGCCTGTGGATGCGGGTGAGTATGGACTCCGTTTGCACGGCATCAAGGGACGCACCCGCTGCATTTGTCTTTCTCCTAATGGGTTTCAGCTCTGTGCGGGGGGGGAGGACGGCCAGCTTCTCATGTGGGATTTTACTGTGGCGCTGAAATCACGCCGGATCGAGCCCACACGTGTTCTAACCCCATTTGTTAACCGTATTTCAGGGTACCAGCCGATTATTGCGCTTCACGCGGCGGTGGATGGGAGCTACTTTGTGGCCTGTCAAGATGGGGACAGCCCTGCTCTTATTACGTCGGGTGGGAAGCAGCTCGGCTACTGTGCGATTGGTGAGCGGGGGATGGTGGATGTGGTGCAGTGTAAAGGACATCGCGCGGCCGTCACGAGCTCCTGTTGTCATGCCACGGTAGCTGGAAGTTTTTATACGTGCGCGCAGGACGGAACAGCCCGTCTGTGGGAGCAGGGTTCCTATGAACGGCGCTCTGTGTACGCGGTAAAGCATGGCTCCGGCCAAATTGATGATGTGGTCATTGTAGAAAGTGTCCTGAGCCTAACATCCGTCGGCGGCGGCGGAAGTGTTTTCGCCACGGGTGGACAGGATGGTTGCGTGCAGTTGTGGGACAGTCGTACAAAGTACCGCCCTGGGGGTTCTGTTATTTCGTTTGATTTGTACGCACCACAGGCCCAATCGTCGCACGCATGCAAAAAGGCTTTGGAAGGGGATGACCTATTTGAAAAACACGTTGGAGGGATGGCTGAGCTCACTCACTTGAGCGGTATAACCGAACCGACCCCTGCTGTACTGGCTGTCCGTCGTAACGCACAGCTTCAGTTAGTCGACCTCCGGCGTCTCCTGCCTCCTCAAAAGAGGATCCGGTCAGCTACCGCATCATTTTCCCTTGCACCATCCCCACCACCCCTCTTTGGGGATCCCATCATGGAGCTACCTTACATGACCGACACCACACCTGTCATCGCAACGCCGGACGGGTTCTTAACCTGTACTAGTCGTAATGGATATCGGCACGTGGTTGGAGGCCACGTCGTGCACTTTCAGTGTGGTAGCAACCCGGCGTCCTCGCATGTTATCCCACCTCTACAGGTGTGGCGTGCAGGAAGGCCGGATGAGGATGTGCTTTGCGTATGCGCGGATGTCGCCACGCTTGGAAGTAGTTCTAGTGGTGGTATTTTCGCTGGGTTAAACTCTGGGGATGTCGTAGTGCAGACCGCCGTCAGTGGTGACAATCGCCTTGATAAGCATGATGCGCCCTTCTGGCGTTGGCTGGCAACTCGTCCGGAACCTGAGAAAGGGTCTGGCAAGACCGACTGTCGATCCCTAGGGCAAAAATCAGGTCGAATTCAAGGCGATGAGTACGAGCTCCTCTATTGACTGTATTTCTATTTATTTATGTTTTTCCATCAATATTTAATTATCGGACGTACCCCGAAGTAACCAATTTTTTTTTTCACAGTATCCAACGATTCCGTTGTTCTAATAATCCCATTCGAAAGGACAACATTTTCTTCTTTCATGTCTTTTACGTATCAATACTTGCTTCATTCTTCCCCCCTCTCTCCCCCCCCCTGAATTGAATCATGCTTTTTATTATTTAGATTTCATATGTGGATCAGATTCAAATCAACACCCAACAAGTTATTATTGTTAGAGCACTTTCTCGTTGACAGAAAAAAATTCGATAAAAGTTAAGCCAACATAAACTAAACCCCCCAAAAGGTGTACTGCCCGAATGGCAGATGTAGTTTCCACATCTAGATCCTTCAATGATAATCGTGAGCTGAATTCTTCCTCATCCACGGTCGAATATCCATCCCTTGAGTGTATTAGCGCTTTTATGGTGCGACTTACTGGAAAGCTTCCTGCGATTCACTGCATAGAAACAGATCATGACCATCCACGTCTGGTAGTTTCATATGACTACACAGGTTGCGACTACGCCATGGTTCTCTACGCCTTGTTTCCAAACAACTGTATCAACCTTTCCAGATTGTGTTGGTCATCAGAGCCGTTGGCTACACAACTCATGCAAAACCTAGAGGAATTGTGCAGGGCCGTAAAGCGTCTGGAGGCGTTTGAAGTGCCTTTGCTTTCGCTGGAGCCGCAGCGTCTATTACCCACTCCGGCATGCATATTGCACCACCTTAAGTTGCAGCACTGGCTTTACACCATTTCACGTCGCTTTCCACCGGACCCAACCTTCGATGCAGCCTCGATTCGAGCGGTGCTGCGATGGCAGCAGCTAGGCGAACCTTTCTTATGCTGCCGATGCTCCTTAAAACACACTGAACAAGCAACTGAAGTGTGTACACAGGTTAATGGTGATGAGCAGGGCGAACCACCACAACAGGTAAGTAATATCGATCCACTTTTAGATATTCTTGACTTTAGAAACTTTGAAAACGATCCAGAGGTATATTGTCGTTCTGTGGAATGCACTCCTTGTATTGACGCGGCCGTGCTTAATGAATGTCTCGCACCATACTTTGCGCCAACTCCACCCTACACCTCAACAGGAGGGACTGATGTCCAAGGAGAGTGTAATGACAAAGCTGTGGGTGATTGCAGCGCTCCTTCTTCTTCAACTCTTTCAGGCAACGTGAGTGCCGGTATGATGCATATTGACACTGCTACTGCAAAACCAAAGGCATGGCTAAACTACAGCAAACCTTGGCGACTACCTTCGGGGATAGGTGACAAGGAAAAACGTGCAAATGCAGCCGCGGCACGGCGGCAGGAGACCTTATCCCGCGATCCTGTTGCTACAGCTTTTGCACATGGAAGTTCTAATCTGTTTGAGCAGTTTGAATCTTCACAGAGAGCTGCTAAGCTGTTGCGAGATAACTTAGATGCAATTCGCTGCGAAGTCATGGAGGAAATACTGAATGGAGGGAAAACTTATAGCTTTGATAAGTATGCAGAAATGCTAACCAATGCGTCTATCAGAACGACTTACAGCAAATAAACCAGCGCTTGCATCTTTTTCCCCTCTATCTACACCTCTTTTTTAGATATTTTACATCACTTTCTCATATTTCTGTCCATTAATGTGTGGGACATGCATCTGTGTATAGTTTTTTTTCCATTTTCACAGCTTATAGAATATTCTATAGTTGCTGTTATTGTTGTGTCAAAAATGTCGAGCATGTTTACTTGACTTTTCTATTTGGCTGATATGAGATTAAATATGTGTTTTAAAACTTTCTTATGTTCCCTTTTTATATCTGCAATCCATCCTATTTTGTGTCTAAATTTTATCCTTTATTCTTCTTTATGCCATTTTGTACAAGCGTGTGAAGGGAAAAGTGGTGCTGAAGTTATTCAACAAAAAAAAGGATGCTCTCATGGCCACATTTACATTTCGTGTCAAGCAGTTTGTCGAAAACTTGCATAATTTCGACTCGGATAGGAAAATCAGCTCTATGCTGTGCGTTTCTTTTCCAGTCTAGATTTCTGAGTGATATTCCTAACGAGGATACCAATCAAGCGGATAGCAGGTTTACTTCAATGGGTTCGAACACAACGGCGTTTCACACAGCAGTTCATGGATCTTCATCAACAATGTCATCAACTGCAACAGATAGGGCCTGTCGACCACTTTACAGAGATGGACAAATAGGACTTCGCAAGGCAGTGTGGCTGCGCATGGATCCGGTGACCAAGTGGACTATTTTGGTAGACTTGGCTCGAAGGGGTCCATACTTACTGGAGAGAGGCAATGTAGAACACACGAGGCTGATGCGTTTTATTTTTTGTATCAGAAACTATTTTTCAAAGCGAAAAAGTTGTTTGGATCCTTCTGAGCCTCAGAAAGATATGCACACCCAAGAAAAGACACAGCCCGAGGTTTTGGGTCAGGATGACGACCAGGTGCATTTCACACCGACTTCTACCATTCACCACGCCTTTATTTGCCAAGCGCTACCATACGCGACGCGCCTCCAACTAGCGCTCTCTTTGCTTCTTTGGCTTCGTTGTTTGCGCGATGTGCAGGATACACTTGCGCGGCTACGTACACCTTTTGCCCATAACACGCGCCTGGGGAATAGTCTTTTGGCACATGTTTTTCCCACTCGTCTTACAGAGCATTGGGTAGACCCCTTCACCCATCTGTCGGTTAAGATGAACGAGAAGCTTAATGGAACCGGGGAGCAGGTCCCGGCTCCGCACACCTGGGACCCTGAGACGGTGGAGGACGATGGGTCGGAGTGGACGGTGTCCCTCGGGGGTGAACGTGCTCCACATGGGAAACGTGCCGTGAGCAGGGCCGCACTTCTGGACCGTGTTCAGGGCCTCACGCCTCGTCCTAGCGCAGATGATGAGCACGTGGCTCGCCTGGTAGGTGTCGGATCAAACCGGCGGCAGCGTCGTCTCCACCTGGTTGCTCGCCAGAACAGCGGACATTTTCCATTTTCAACAACTGGTGACTCAGCAAGTGAAAATATCAAGCCGTCTGCTGGTACCGACAGGACGACAATTCAATGGGCTAATACAGATTCCAACCGCGTCTTGCCGCCCTCACCGCTTGATTCAAACCCACTTGAGGATGCCGCCTACCATGCCAACAACGAGCGCGGTGAGGGATGCCCATTAAGCAATCATGGAACGGTCTCATCGTCCCCTATTCACATTCCTGGTCGTGGCAGCAGAGTCTGGGATGGGTGCGGTTCAACGTTGGATATACACAACGCCGCGCTCGAGGTCGAAGCCACACTGGGGCGGTGTGTGCAGGCCCATGCGGCAATTCTTTCTTCTTTATTTATTGAAGGTCGTGTGGTCCAGTTTACCACTACGGACCCCGTTGTTTATCATTACGTTCTCTGGCTTTTTGAAGAGCTTATTATAGAGAAATATATCTTTTGCAAGCTAATCCAAGAAAAGGACGAGTCAGTTTCCACGCAACTAATGCCGTATTACCCACCATGGTGCTTTCGGTCAGTCCTTGCACTATTACCACCTGCAACAGAGAGAATCAAAAAATCCGAGGCTGCCAACCTTGCCGGACTCATTCTTCGAGCGGCACCATGTGATGTGCTTATTGAAAACGTTCCTTCTATTTGCACAGACAACAACAGTGAGCATGAATCACCCAACAGAAGTGAATCTGGGGGAGCATCCGTGACATCATACATCGCGCAGGTTCAGGAGGAAGTTGAAAAACAGAGGCAAGTATTGATGAAAACAATTTCATGTAAAAATCAACCCCACAAGAATGGGTCAAAAGAAGCAAATACATGGCGAGTATCCTGGGTGTTTCTTCGTTCCCACCAGTTGAACTACCCGAATGACAAAGGCACCCCAACGGTTAATAACAACGAAGAATATAGCAGAACACCTAACAGCTCTGGGCACCTACTCAACTTCGTTACCAATCAAGAAAATGTGGATCCTAATCCAAAATATACCCCTGGCGTCATCCGAATGCACTTCCACATCCTTTTAACATCATACACTACAAAGATATTAAATTTTTTGATAAGTGTTTACCAGAGGTGGACTAGCAACAGCGATGTAAATCTAGAAAGCACTAAACGACAGCGACGAGGCAAGTGGTTCATCGAGCAGGTAAACAGCGTTGTAGAGGATCGCATTCATGCCCTTCAGCTTCTGTGCCTTTCTCATAATTGTATCCTACCCCAACGCCACCTGCAGGAGTGGGTATGGGAGCAGCTCCCGTGCAGCCTCCGTCTTGTGGGTGTTAACACCTCTCCGTGGGATGCACTCTTTTTCTTCCCCCAAGTCCCATTTTTAAGCCACAAAGTAGGGAATGCTTTCCGCTTTCGAGCCGTTGAGCGTGTTGTTGTTGCGAAGCATGCCGCAGCCTTCGGTGCGGGGCCGCTTCGAAGGCTAGCCGGCCGCAGCTTTTGGCTACGTGGAGGCAAGGGATGGGAGAGGACTGGTTTGCATGCTCGGCTAAACACATTGGATCGAGCACGTCTGTTAAAAGCCCAAAATTGCCATAGTAAAAATACCGAAAAATTATTTAAAACGTTGAATGAGGCCAATAAAATAGTGATGAAACGCCACAACGATAAAGCAGCAGACATGTTAGTGACGGAGCGTTCAATAGATTACTTGGCTAACCCTAACAAACTGACATGGATTGGGCTAGTTTCGGCTATCGTCTTTCGTTTGTAGTGAACATGCAATGAAGGTCTCTTTGTGTAATAAAGAAAAAGGAAGGTAAGTATATTCCTCTAACTATGTGTGTAAAGGTTAAAAGAAATGTAATTCAATTAAAATGTACAAATAATAAAGGCACTTTACTTTCTATTTCTTGATACTTCAAATCCAAGAAAATGAGCGAAACCAATCAAAGGAAAAACCATCAGGAGTCATCCATATGGTATTCTCAAAAGTGGGCTTGCCTCTCCAGGCAAGAGCACATACTCCATATCGCAACACCAAGAGTGCCTTGGTTCTATGTGTGCGTGAGTGAGTGTGCAAATATGAGGGAATGTGCTGCTGCCCTGCGATGAATTCGTGCTGTACCTGTGGGTCGTCACGTTGCCGTAGCGGGATGAGGAAGAGGTGCTCTTTTTTCCTCTTCACTATACAAGAGCAGAAATTGACCAACTGAGGTGACTCGCTTTTTGCGGCACTTCTGTGGATGAGCGTGGAGCTGATTACGGTAGCCAACGCACGGCGCAGCAGCACAGTGTATTCTTTCTGCCTTTATTCCTCTTCTTCTTTTTCCTCGAACCTCCCTTCTCAAGATTTGATGACGCTGATGAAGATGATATGGTCCGTGTTTCAGATTCATATTTCCATGACGCACCGATAAACATATCCACTGAGTCATCTGAAGAAGCGGGACGCATGTTTTGGGGTATGTCTTTGCTATTGGCTGTACATGTATTTTCTTCCTTCCTCCTCCCCTCCCCTTATTTATACGTTGGATGCACAGGATGACAGCGCAAAGAAGGGAATCTCTTGTCGAGCCGCGTGCCCTGACATGAAACACTTTGACAATATACCAATCCATTCAAAGCGATAGCTGAAGCATCCACTCTCCCCCTTACCTGCTGCAAGCGATCTGTCCGCGTGAGTGCGCGAATGAACTTCCCAATGACGATTGTGACATCTCTCCACGGAAATGTTCAGCTGACATCAACCGTCTTCGAACCTAATACCATGGCTGAGGGAAGTGCTCACTCGATGCGAGGCAGAGGCTTACAACGTGGCATCGATGGCTGTATTTTATCTATGGATATTAGTGCCAATAATTCATTTTGAGTTTTGCTATTTAAGTTCCTTTAAAAATATATCAATAAATATGTTGTTATTATATTATTTATCCTGATTTTTATTTACCTTATGATAATATTTTCTTCTTTTTATTATCATTATTTTTCGAGTTCATAAATTGATTTTTACCAATTTATACTGCCTAATGTCGCTTTTTGATCGCGACGATGATTCTGTTGTATCAGAGTCGAGTAGTAGTAGCATTCACAGTCCAAACCACGCTTTAGTTGATGATGTTTCTTCAAAGAATACTTTAGAATCTACTTTACCTCTCCATGTACCACCTTTGTTTCCTACCAATGAACCTTTACGTATCAGTTCTAATGCAACACGCGGTCAGTTTACCCTAACCGAAAGTGAGATTCTTAGCGCCCAGCAGGATCAAAAACGACTCTTAGAACGTAGGCTGGGCTCTCGGATGGGGATTCGAGGAGGTTTAAACGCTACTTTTAACCAACCTAGTAATAATCTTGCCAGTTCTGCTTCTTTAGGTATAAATGGGAAAACTGGTCGAAGTGATTCAAGCGTATTTGGGAACTCTATTGCTGCTGCATTACGTCTTCGAAAGGAGGAGCAAGAGGAGCTGCTCCTGCGTAAACTCTGTGCTGAACGCTCGAATGATCCGAGTTTAATTGAAAAAGATTTGGAGGTTGGGGTTTTTGTGACATCGGCGTATAAAAAGATGCTCAGACACCATCAAAAACGCTGCAGCGGCCTAGATGATGCTACCGACAAGGTTTCCTCCGAACCAACTGATTCAGCGGAGAAAGGGGAGGACAATGATGATGATTTGTTAGAGTCTTATATTAGAAGCCTTGAGCGCAATCTACCAAAGATTCGCGCCATCTCTGAGACTGATCCTCCGAGGTTATCGTGTAACAACGTGACCAACGGCCTGTCATGTACTAGCAAAAGAAAGGCATCAGAACTCGGCAGTCATTATGATCAGGTTATGCTTATGCGGCTTCATGAAGATGCCCAAGCCTCTGGAAGGACACAGGAGCAGCAACCACCACAGGGCCACAGTATTGAAGACGTTATAAATCGTCCTTCTTTGAGTGAATTAAAGACGCTTGTTTTGACTGAAGGAGCTGTTACGCACACAGAGGATGCCATTTTAACGGATGGAAAAGAGATGTCTATTCCCGATGCGATGAATAAATCTGTTCCGTGTTCTGGAGGCAATACAGATCGTCCGCCTGATGCTGGAAGGGGAGTTAAATCGCAGAATGAAGCACTTATTGAGCATAAACGCACCCTTTTCTTGGCTCGTGAAGCTCGGAAGCGACGCCGTGTCGATGCAGCTTTTATTTATGGGTGTGCGCAACGGTGTGAGGAGCGTATGATCAAATTGCTACATTTAGTGTGATTTATCCTACGTTGCTGTGCATTTCCTTCACTTTGACATACGCACAACAATTTACAATCCTTAGAGTGGTAGGACTGAATTATTAGCACTTATAATTTATAACCTATATTTCCATTACTACGCCATAATTTTTCGATTGGTTTGATGTTGTGAAGAAAATTAACCGATAGACCTATCCCATTAGCCTTATTTAGCGCACTTCATAAAAGGAGTTGGAGTTTTAAGTGCTGGGATTTTCACTTGCGTACTTGACTTTCAATACATGTGGACTATGCGAAGCAACCTTATACATTCCTTAAAAAAGTGGAATCGTGAGCTCTTTTCTCTGATTTTTATCTACTGTGCCCTTCTCAAAATTCATTTTTGATGATTCCAAAAAGAAGGTATCCAAAAGTTTGACTGAAAGTATTGATTAAAGTTGTTTACTTCAGAATAAAAGAGCGGCATAGGTAGACGAAAATGGTTTGATCTCATGTTATTTTACTCATTTTTTTTGGTATGTTCTATCATGAACAGATTTTTGTAAGTGGTATTTGTTGTCTTGTCTCGATCATTGATAATTTTTCTTTTTTTTGAGACAATATGCACTTCAGAAAGGGTACCAAAGGAACCAATCCAGCACGCATCTTATTAATTTCTGATGCACCAAATTATACCCAGTAACTGTTGTCTACGATCCAACTTTCAAATAGAACTACAAGAATATCTTGCGGCACTAGATTGTTAACGTTTGTAGAATTTCTTAATTTGGTTTAAAAATTTTATGCTTTCCTGCCGTTTTTCGTATTTCTTACAATTTTGATAGCATAGAAGGCATAGAAAAGTAGAAATATTCCGCCCATTATATATGCCTTTCACGAGAAACGCTCAATCAGATGTTGCAGTGTCGACATCAAACACTAGGTTTACTAACACCTATATTAGCCAAAAGTCTTCGGAATCTATCCATTTAGTTCTATCGGGGTGCGTGCTTCTATATGAGCGGGTTGTTCATGAGCTTATTCTTGAGAGTGAGCGGAGGATAGCGAACGCCTCACTCTCCACACAAGTGGCATCAACCCAAAATCATGAAAGTCGTGGAGCGGTGGCTTCACAGGTAGTGAGCACGAGTTCCTTCGACTCTTCCATTCCATGGGCTCTCCCTCCCTTGGAAGTGGTGTCAAATTCACCAGTAGCGGTGGCTGCCTCATTTCTGCACCGCTCTCCTGCCGGAACACGAGAAGTGGATGAAACTTTGCCCAATTACCATTCTTCTGATCTGAAGGCAACCACGCAAAGTGGGTCTTTTCGAACATCAGCTGGCATTGACACTAAGAACCGACAGGACCCTGGTGAGGCTTGTATAAATCAGACAACTTTAGCGGAGCCGAAAGCCTTAAATCATAGCGATGGCAGAAACGCTCCTTTACTCTCAACATCTTTCTCTAACCCCAACGCAATGCCGGAGAGTTCAGTCTTGGAAAGGACAGCTTTTATAGCGCAACAGTATGGCCCTTCTATCACGGCAAGGCCAGTGGGTATTCTTTTGCTTACTTTGCATCTACAGCTTGGCTTAGGGGAGAATATAATGATGATTTTCCTCGCAGCGTTGGTTTACCTTGTGCGGTTGTGCACACGCTGCGTGTCGGATCGTGCTTGCGTTACGAGCACCAACTGGTATCGTCTCACTACAGTTGCCATTATGATAGCTACCAAGATGTACAACGAGGAAAGTGGATTGATATATGTCAACTGTGTATTTGCAAAGGCCGCACACATTCCTATTATTGACCTACAATCTTTAGAGCTCGATTTCCTGTACCTAGTGGATTTTGATCTGCTGGTAGAGGAGGAGGACGTCAAGAGATGGGTTGATTGGATGGTGGTAGAGTCCACGGCATCACGCCTACATCCGCGATTTGAAGCGCATATCCCACAAAAGGGCATTCCCGTAGGGGATGCCGTCGGTTACGCTCTTTCTCCCCTTCAAGATGAGAACACTGGGTTTTTTACTATTGAAGACAAGGGGACCAACAGCGAGTCAGGTATCAGTTACGACCGTTCAGCACTGTCAATGCTTTCGAATAATTTATCGAATTCAGTCGAATACACTAAAGAAAGTTCACTTGCGGTGGATCCTTCTTCCAGTTTCATCAGTGACCCTTACTTGAAACTCACCGAAGCATGCCGTTGGAGATCTGGCAATGACGATTCTATCCTTACACAAGAACAACAACAACATCAAGAAATAAAGGCAATATTCTTTCCAATGGCAAACCCCATGCATTTTACACCACTTTATGAGCCCACAGTGCCTGTAAAAAAGGAACAGCGACTTTTTAGTTCTATACACAATCCAAGCGAGCCGATCAGTCCGTTGACGCTGCGTGAACTGAGCCGTCTTGGTAAAAAACAAGATATATCACTCGCACCTCCGTCGCTAACATCTATTTCATCAGTTAGGTTTTTCAAACGAGGTGGCACTTTATACCACCAGCAACATCAAAATAGTCATCCTTCATCGTTGGTCTCTCAACATAAAGAGTCGTATCACAGTGATAGGAACTCTTGTGGGTCTCCTCTTCAGCATTCTCACGAATCTGCTATACAACATACCCTTTGTTATGATGAAGGTGGTTTTTTACACCCTGCAGGACAGGTCCTTCTTGAAAAAGAATCGACTGAAGTCTTTGAGCAGCTTCCATTAGATGTCATAGACCAAAGCTTCACTCACACCGAGCAGCCTAAACTAGTTGATGCAGCTAAAAGAGAAGCATTTAGTGAGGCGCGCTCAACAGGCAAAAATGGCAATCTATGCAGTATCATAGGGAAGGAATTATCGGAGCTAAACCCCCGGCAAGTACTGATCGGAACATGGAAAGATAGACACGTCCTTGTGAAACATGCATACCAAATCTTCAATGTATTTTCTTCATTAGTAAATGGAAAGCTAGATATCATGGATGATACCAAGGCTTTGGACAGTAGTCATGATATAGTCGATGAACTTATTCTCCTGCACAACGACAGTTATGGCCCCAGTAGCGTACTTGAAGATGAAGGAGCTCATCCAAAAGTGTCCTTTTGTACGGATTCTTTTTCAACCAATAACGGAAATCACCCAGACAAAGAGGCAATGCCGAAAAAAGCGGCTACCACGAATTCTGCTGCTGCACTTATGCCGTTGGCAATGCTAAATTCCAACCACTGCGCAGTCTTTACTGAGTCACCTGAACCTGACTATGCAAACCCAACCATAACCAAAGGTGCTAGAGGGGATAAATATCCATTGTCTGCGATCGCATCCACGACCCCAGGTTCACCTCTTTCTTTTCATAAGCCCAAGATGCTGTCGTGCGGATCTTCTACCTACTCCCTTCAGGCGGCTCAACGGCCTGAGGGGTCTAGGAAGGATATGGACGGTCACGCCGAGGGGATCGGCACATGCCATCCGGATAAGGACTATGACCCAGACGATTTCGAGGACTACATCTATGACGGCGAAGACGGGGAGGGTTATTATGATGACGATGATTATTACGACGATGATGATGATGAATACACAGAGGAAGACGAGGAGGAGGTTGAGTTATGCCGTCCTCCACCTAGGATACATTCGCCACCTTTGCTTTGAAAGAGACTTTAAGTCTCTGAAAAGGGTCAAAGGAACGCTGTTGTCTGTTTTCAATTTTTTTATAAAAAGATTCATTGCAGTTTTTGTTAAACCTAAATGGAACAATGCTGAAGCATGTTTACAGCATAATGACATGGTTTCAAAATCATTGCGAGTATTTCAATGGTTGACAATATATACATACTGTTATTGGTTTCATTCCACCCTAACGTATGTGACCTTTTTTTTCAAAAAATTCTAGCTGTTTATTTTTAGGTGGCCTATGCATTTTATCATTTGTATGTAAAACATACTGTATGAGGAAATTTCTATTAGATATTTTTTGATTAATTTTACCATTTTCCTAGATTTTTTTTTAGTCTATATGCTTGTTTTGTGTAAATAGACATACGTGTATATTAATTATAAAAATCTCGGAAATATTTGTCAATTCATTTTTAATTATACATTTTCGCATTTATGCAAGTCCGCCCTTGGATACATTCATTCCTTTGGTGTGTGTGTGTATGCATCTTCCCATGTTCTTTGACTAACTTTTTTAAATTTACGCAATGTTGTTCTCTATCTTAATCGCAGGTGCTTCTTTCTAAACCATATATCCCTTTTGTAGTGCTTCATGCATGAACAGATTCTATTTTTATACCCATGATGTTTTCAAGAAGGCATGACTTCTGATTATTGGATTTTTTTTGTGTTTATAACGATAAATACTCTTTGTTTTCTGTCAGAAACCTTTTCTCCTTGGAGATATTGCAAAGTCCCAAACTTAAAATAGCAAAACTAAAACTAATATTGTGATACAAAACGGGAGTATATGAATTTAAGTCTAAGGAACTATTTTTACCTACCTCTTCGTATCTTTGTTAAATAGTGGGTAAATAAAGCAGTGCCTTCTTAAATTCTTGTGAATTTAACAAAAGGATTATATATATTTATATCATGTCTAAAGCAGGCTGTACGAGCATTTATGTACTTAAGTATGGAAGATATGATTAGTTTGAAGTACCTGAAATTGATATTATTATTATTATTATTATTTTGCATGTTTGGATATTATTATAGGGGTGTACCCATTATAAATATAGAAGTCCTTTCTAAAGCAGTGGTAAGGATTTCTCCAATAAAATTAAATAAATACGAATAGCGAAGTGTACAAACTGGTATTTCATGGTTTAGCATTTCAATATGTGATCCTTTTACCCATTCTTGGATCTTATCTTCGCATTATCTTCTCTAGTGTACTTTATTCGTGTGTGAAAATTTTATGTAACTGCATTTGCAGCACTAAAAGTCTGGTATTTGTATACAATCCTTTTCAAAATGAATAAACCTGCACAAGAGACTGAGTATAAACAAGTTGGGTCCGCCGTAACGACGGACAATAGGAGTTATCCGAGCCCCTCATTCTCTATAGATGAAATAATGAACAAGTCTAGTTTTCACATTTCGGATGCAAGTTGTTTGTGTGTTACCTCATCACATACCCATTCATCCATTGAGCCAAGACTACCTTTAACTAACCATTTGACCGATGACGAAGACATTTTACCCCAGTCCGAGTGCAAATGCAATAATGGGAGTGTGTTTAGTAACCAAGATTCTGCGAACATATCGAAAGATCACGGTCTGAATTCGGTTTGTAGAATCTTGAACCTAGAAGCAACCACTCCAACTGACGAAAACGTCAGCGATGCCGGTGTGAACACCTTAAATGTGGAGACTGAAGTGCGCTTCCCAGAGGATAAAGAGGAGTTTAAACAGGTGAATAGTGTCGTCAGAGACTCGACTGATATGATACCCAATACCAACAAAAGAACATTAGAGCAATCAAAAAAAATAAAACCACACTCAATGAAAGCGAAGGAGAGATCCTCTGGACCGGAAAACTTTAGCACGGTTCAGATCCATGAAGTAACCACTCCATTGAACACTTGTGTTTCTTTCCCTGAAACAGCTCCGGGTACGTTAAACACGTTAACGACCCTTCCACCATGCCGCCGATCCATGAACGAATGCTCATTCAATAGTCAATCCTCAGGGTCTCTTATAAAGAATTCCTCATCGCAGTTGCGATCTGTGCGACCAGCACATCAACATCTTGGGAATCCTCAAAAAATAGCCCCTTCGCCCCCGGTATCTTTTTCCCGTGTGTCCGAAAAATTGAAACTTGTTAGCACAAACAATTCAATAACCTCAGGCAAGTCTGACGTAAAGTCTTCCACAAGCTTGCAACGGCAATCTTCATCTTTGATGGCCGATAAAAAAAACGAACCAAATTCCTTTTTGGAAGTAATCAAGAGAAAGACCAATGTTTCGTTCATCTCACCCCCGCGCATTGTGGGTTCGGTGAAGAAGGGGCCAGTAGCAGGTCCCAATAGGGGTCAGCCCGATCCCTCTCCTGTTAGACCCGCTGTTCGCTTGATTCCCGAGAAATTCTGGCGATTTATTTCCTCAAAGTTGTACAAATGTTATCACCGAAAGTTATTTCAACACTATAAAATTTTCAAAATGCAAAAAGCTACCGTGAGGCGGCGCCATCGCAGTGCGAATCCTCCCCATCACGCCAGAGGTCGTCGCGTACGGGATGCTCCAGCCAAGGGACGGGAGCCGGAAAGCCCCAAAGTCCAACTTGAGAAGCCCAAAGTCAGCTTTTCTATTCTCAAGAAGGGGGACCCGAGGTTGAAAAAAGACGGGAATAAGTCGTTTTCCCTGTCGTCGACTCCGCCGCAATCCCCCTTGCCGCTTTCACCAACTTCGGTTGCTGCGAAGCGAGAGGTACCGACCGTTGTCGTTCCATTTTCAGGGCGATTAGTCCTTCAGAAGCAGCCGCAGCTGCGCGTCAAAGGCCTGGACTTGTCTCTGGTGAATAAGCCCTCCCTAGGCCGAGGAAAGGTTGAAGCAACCGGCCGATTCGCACCGAATGCTTTTTCAGAAGGCCCCAGGACGCCCTTGACGTCCGACAACGCTTCAATATCCCTGAATGTTACAAACACGTTCTCCCATCGCTCCAAAGGCAATATTTATAGCCCCATCGTATCGGCTCGGACCTCTTTACCAAGCCGAACGTCAAGAAGCGGAATCTCCTCCACCTCGCGGCTCCAGCCTCGTAGTCTTAGTAGGGAGCGGAGCCGGTCCCTTGACACCCCGGAGAGAGAAAGGCCCGAGGTTGCGAAGTTTGTGATTATCCCGCTTCTTTCCTCCCCGGAGGAGCGGGAACGCACCGCGACGGTGGTTTTTGATCTCGATGAGACCCTTTGCAATAATCGCGTCAGCGGTCCGCCCTTGCTGCGCCCGGGGGCGGTTCGGCTTCTGCAAGACCTGCGCGCCATGTACGGCCGGCCGCGTTATAAATCATGCCCCTTTTCCTCCTCCAGCCCACATACCAAAGCGACCAATCCGCGATCGGCGATTCAATTTTCACGATTCGCCTCGACCTTGGCGATTTGCAATGGTTCGTCGACATCTTTGGCTTCCAACGAAAGCGAGGTGCGGCTGGAGTTGGTGCTTTGGACTGCTAGTATTGGCAGCGTGGCGAAGCGTGTGGTGGACCGGCTCGATCCTTTTGGCGATGTTTTTGATCAAATCATCTACCAAGACCCGCGTTGGTATAGCAACGACGAGAGCTACACCAAGGATTTGCGTCTGCTGGGCCGTAATATGATGAATGTCGTCATCATCGAAAATTCCATTCCTTCGGTGAAGTGCAATCGTCGAAACGCGATTTTGGTCACGGACTTCAGCTTTAATAGGAACGATCGGCAGCTGTTGGTGGTACGGAGCATCCTAATGGAGTGGTTGGGTTTACTGAATGCCTATTGGACGCGACTTCGCAATCCAAACCATTTGCCGGCATCAGAATGTAAAGGGGATGGCCGAAACCAATCAGTAGAGAAAGAACTTGGATCCTGCAAGATGATAGATGACCCCATGAAGAACCCGGTCTCATCACAGATTCAAGGAAGGCCTATGGATGATGTGATCGCCTTCTCATGTCTTAATCAGACTGCGCAATACCCAAAGAGTTCGAGAACCCATTTAGGCGGTGCTACTGTTCCCTTTTCATTCGACTCCTTAATCCATGAAAAGGGCAAAATCTCCATCGTACAGTTTCTTAGCCTTCACGATTACATTCAGAAAGGCACCAATTATGTCCGCCTATCGGTCGTCTCTCATGTTGCCCAGCTCTACGGGGATCCTGTTAAAGGCAAGCAATTGGAAGGGCCTATGAGTGCCCGGACTGCATACGTTAACTCTATGAAAAAAGATGATACCAACACCAATAGATTTTCACAATCCAATTGTTCTCAGCCACCGAAGTGGTTTATCTGATGTTAGTAGCGGCATTGCGAAATTGCGGCCTACTTCGCTTGGTTGTACGCGTCATTTTTATGAAAACATACTTGGGTGTGTATAGTTTAGGTTAGCCTTCATTTTAAACAACTAGTAGAACTTTTGGTGTATTTTTTTTATATACCACGTGGCACCCACGTTTCACCTGTAATTCATAAATAATGTCGAAAAATACCAACATAATAGTCGGACATAGAACAATACCATATTATATAAATATTTCATTTACATCTTCCGGAAGTCAAGTCGCAATTTCAACACTTCTAAGAATGCAGCCCCTAAAAATATCAAGCTTCACTCCAGTATCCTAGAGCCTGTCTTTGGTTTGCTTGTTTATTGTTAAAAAAAAAACATTCTCGTGTTGTTCAAATTTGAATACTCTGACAAACTATAGTACACTAAAGACAAAAGTATCTTTAATTATATCAAAGGTGATTATAATCTTAACAAGGATCCAACGATGCATCAGTCAAGATAGATCGAACAACTTATATAACCTATTTTTGATATATGGTTCCTACATCGTAGAAATATTTTTTTTTTGTTACTTTCTTCTGAATAAATACATACGTTTAATTTTTATAATTGATTTCTTGAATTTTTGCTTTATATTTAATTTAAAGCATGTTGTTTGTTCGTGTACTCATTTGCCAATTCTGTTGCTTTCAAGGCATTTGATTTCAGTACACATTCACACTAATTTGGTTACACGAAATTCATATCTTGAAAACCTTACGGTAGTTTACTTTAATAAAATAAAGAGGGTCTAATGCACATTGATGACACACTACTTAATTGGCTAGCTTTGTTTTACATTTAAAGTTTGTCAATCGGAATCAGTTGTGTTTTTTTTGACATTATTGCTCTTGCTTCTATGTAGTACCGAAGAAATTCATATAAAACTCCTTACGTATGCATTGACTAACTTTCGAAAATAAATGATAGATAAATATTTATAGTGTAAAACATATGTACATACTTTTAGTGTTATGCGTTCATATTTTTTCTATATACATATATATATTCTTGGTGTTTATTATCTTTGTTTTTAAATGGTTTCCTATAGTCTTCGAAGAGGGAAAGGCGAAAGAGGCTCTGAATATATGAGTATCAATATTCAGTACTTATATATTCACTTAGTGACGCACGAGTGATTTATGGGATTTATTTTATCTATTAATCTAGTCTGCGCTTTTGATTTGTTACGTTAAGGGGTATTTTCCCGTTAAAATTCACTTGTTAGACTCCATTATTGACTGTTTTTCCCTGTTGTGTTGATTTTTTTAAGATTATGGGCTATTTTATTTATATTCTATATGCTGGAAAAATAGATATATACAAGGGTTGCGCTTCCACTTCTCAGAATCGATTTGGTATCTACTGATGATATGTAGTTTATGTTTACCCATTTACTCTTTTCTTTTTCTTTTTTATTATCTATCACCTGGAATCAACTCTTAGATCACAGTAAAAAGTATAAATGCGTCTTATATAAAGGAACCGAAGTCAACTTTTAGTGTCTAGGCAAGAAAACCGACATGTTTGGCGGTTTGTTCTTTGCCGTTACTTCACTTTATATACTACAAGATTTATCTACTGTATTGGGAACAATAAGCGAATAAGTGAGGAAAAACGCCACACTGTTGAACATTTTGTCCCGACAAAAATAGAATGGCAGCGATGCGAAGAGCACTTACAGAGGGATCCCTAAATTTATTCCCATTCACTTTGCATGTGCCCCACACCGCCGGAAGGATGGGATCATGCAGCTCGTACTGTCCTTGTCAAATAATCACTCTTTCTCATCCTATGAGAAGGAATCATCACGGTTCATTTACATTCCCCAAACACGCTGACGCCAGTACATCATTTCCAGACGCTGGCTTTTCAAAGCTATTCAAGGACGCCTTTCTGGAAGCCAATGGATCCAATAGCATGGGGTTTACCAACTCGGACGTAAGTTCATTTTATTCTTGGTTGCTTTCCTCGGCAAACATCGGACACGATCCCGTTTCTTTGACTTCGGCGCCCAATTCGGCGCTTCACTATTTCCCTAATGCCCCTGTGGCTTCTCTCTACACAACCCGACCTCGTGAGGACAAGTTATTCGAAGCCATCCACACGACCCACAACGGAAATGAAGGACCCTCCATCAAGGCGAATGCATCGTGCACGCCATTGGAGGCCGTCAAAGCACTGCCCGCGCTATTGCGAGAGATCGCCACGTATGAGGAAACCCAACGCAAACCCCAACCCAATCAAAGGGCGAGGGATCCTTTGGCAGTTGGGCGGCACGCCAAGGGTGAGGCCGCTTCTCGTGAGCCCCAAACGAGGCCCTCGTCGGGGATAAACCCCTGGGGGCCCGGGCACCCGGGCTTTTTGCGCAGTGTCCTGGAGCAATGCTTCCTGGGGCTCTACCTTCAGCCGATTTTGAATACCCCTGAGCGAACCCGCTCCGGTGTGGCTTCGTTTTTACCGCGCAATCGGACGGACGGCGCTCTTTTCTACGCCCATCTGTATTCCTATTGTGGGTATGCCGAACTGCCGGAGGTTTTGCGCATCCCACTGGAGCGCTTTTTGGCGGTTGTCCTCGTGTCCTCCGCCTTTTCCTTTCACGTGGGGTGGTCTTGGTTGGTGAGCCGTGGCCACCGCGGCTTGGCGCTTGAGCTTTTTATGCTCTGGGGGTGGGCAAACCCGGATGGGATTCTTCTCGAGCAGGCCCAGCGTCTCCTTCCCACCACCTACGACCCCAGGCAGGGACATATCTGCCCGGGGGAGGAGAACCCGACGCTGACGGGGCTGTGGGACATCGCCTTGCAGCTCTTTTCGCACACCACGCAGATGACGAGCGCGGAGCGGCGAGCCGCTCAGCTCCGCGGTGGGTTTTTGACGTCATCGCTGATGTACCCCAAAGGCTATCGTGAGGCTTTGGCGGTGAAAATGGGGGCTCAATTGCCGTACAAAAAGTACTACGTGACCTGCGCTTTGTTAACGCAAGTCCTGAAAGAGGCCGCGTGCGTTTCCGATACGGCGTTTTCAACTCGACAGCGGGAGTCATCCGACCCTTGCACGGCGAGGGGACGTCGTGAAATCCGCGGCTCGCAGCCGCCGAGCCAGGATCGCGGCGCCGAAATCTTCACGGCGCTCATGCGAGAATGGGTTTTCCCGGTTCTTTGCTCGTCCACCCGCACGCTGCCGCCGATAAAAGACCCATCATCTACTTCTCCTTCTTTGGAGTTCTCTCCCGCCGTGATTGGGTATGACCCTTATACTGAGCGCTACGAGGAGTGGATTGTATTGGCTTGTACCGTTGCCGCGGTTGGGCTTCTGGAGCGTTATATGATCGAAACCCGACGAGCGCCGGCAGCCCGGGCTCCCGCCCGTACGGAGGACCCCCTCAGCCCCGAAGGCGCCTCTTTAAACCCGGGGGATCCCCCGAATGATCCCCCGAGCCCCCATTTCGAATCCCACCCCTCCATCGACGCGCTTCGCGCGGCGTCCCTGGCCTGGGCGTGGGGCCTCGTCTCGCAGGACCTCGCGGCGGACGCGGACGAGGCCGAACTACGCCATGCGCGGGCCCACGTCGAGAACTGGGCGCGGATGATCTTTTCCGCCGTCCTGGACGCCTTCGAGGCCTCCGGGGTCCTCCACCCCGCCCGGACCCGGCGGCCCATCACGGCGTGCGGGCTGTGGGCCCGCCTGCATGCCGTTCTGCTGGCGAAGTTCCCGCACGTCTTCCACGGCGGCAGCACCGTCGCCACGCTGTGGGTTCTCATGGTGTTGGAGGGGATGTCGACCGACCTCCCCGGCGGCCCGCTGGCCGTTTCGTTTTTTGGAAAGGAAGAGGCCCTCGCGGCCTGGCGTCGCCTCGCGCGGCTTCCCGGCCCGACAACGGGCGATCCTCGCGGAAGGCCGGGGGGGGGTTTCCCCGAGGGCCCTTCCCAACCCCTGGCCGAACATCAACGCCGGGTTGAGTTTCTGCAGTCGGAGCTCGCCTCGGCCGACGAGCCGGTGGGGAAGGGGGACGCCAGGGCGGCCGCAACCCCCGCGGGGGCCGCGCGGCGGGCGAATCGGGCGATCGGCTTCGCCGGCCCGCCCCCGTCCTTCGCCTCGAATCCCCTTCTTTGGGTCTCCCACTCCACCAGGGGCGGCCTCGCCGAGGGCGGCGCGGTGGCGGCCCTGCGCGAGGCCGAGGCGGCCGCCCTGGGGGTTTTTCGCCAGCACGTCGGCCTGCCCGTCTTGCGGCCGCTCCCGCCGCGCGCGGAGAAGGGCCGCGTTCGGGCTTTTTCCCCCGGCATCGCCCCCGCGGCGGAGCTCGCGGGGATCGCGCAGGGGGCCGCCTGCCCCTCTTTTTACGTCCTGCTGAAGCTCATGCAGGTGCTCACGGTGTGGGGGCAGCCCGGGGCGGAGGGCGACCCCCGCGAGGGGGCCCTCGCGCCGCTTTGGATGGCGCTTTTGGAGGAGAATTTTGTCGGGGCCTGCGCGCCGATCATGGGGCGATATCTTCGCCGGCTGGGGCTTCTCGGGCTCGTCCACAGCGGCGCGCGGGGGGCTCGGGCGCTGGTGTGGACCTACGCCCACGCCCTGGCGATCCTGGGCTCGCCGGAGGTGTCGTGGGATCGACTTTTGCAGGCCGTTTTGTGGTCGACGTGGCCGGCGGATGCCCCGGAACGGCTCTGGCGGTGGGATGCCCAGGAAGAGGATCCAACGGAGGAAAAGGCGAGGGCGCCGACCTCGGAGGAGCGCCCCTCTCCCTACGGCTTGAGCTTCGGATCGAATTCACTCGGATGGCGCGTGCTCGAAGCATGGATCACGAGTTTGCGGTGGCCTCCACCGGGTGAATCCGCGAGCGAGGGAAATCCACCAGGCCTAACGCCGTCTGAGGATGCGAAATCGGCCAAACGGATGGGAAAATTGATGCGGCACGTCCTTTCCTTTCTTGATACTCTTTCCTTCCACATCCCAGATGAGGCGCGGTGTGCGGTGAGTATATTTCCCACCCTCCACAACGCGACGTTATGGGGTCTTGTGGAGGATTGCTCAGCCCGACAGGCCGCGGCGAATGCCTCGCCGCCGATGGACTCGGCGCGAGATTTAATTCAACATTTTATCACAACCCTTTCCTCATCTTTGCAGCACGGTGCGGTAAACCCCCCCCATTTCGCGGATCGGCCGAGCGAGGCCGATCCTTCGGGCGCTCTCGCGGAGGACACATGCGGTGATCAGCCCCCGCCTCCCGCCAGCCACGCGGAGGACGACGAGGACGCCGATTCCTACGACAGCGGGGAGGCGGTGTGGTGGAACGAGCTGGAGGCCGCCGCCACGCTGCACTGGGAGGCGAATACTCCGCAAGCCAGCCATGCGGACCCCTCGACGCCGCCATCGGAGAGGGATCGTCCGCCCAACTCGGCCATGCCGACTTCTTTTTCCCCGCCCAATCGCCCTGGCGGCCCTCGTAAAGCGGCGGATGGCGACTGGAGCCCAACCGGGGCGAGTCGGATCGCTACGCCCGGGGAATTCGATGCGGCGCCCGAAATCCGTCCAGACGCCCGCCAAACCCCAAGCGACCCCCCGGCGGGCGAACCCGACGGCGGGGATAGAGCCGATTCCCTCCTCCCCGAGGCCGATGAGGTGCTGGCCTGCACCAAAGCCCTGCGGATGGTCCTCCAACGCACTTCCCCCGCCGCCTTCCATCTTTTGTTCTCCTTTTTGGAGTTGGTGGGGTGGGTTTTGGGGCTACCCGTCTCCGCCGTGCGGTGGGCCCCCTCTGCGGAGCCCGCGGGGGGTCTTCTTTCCTCCGCGCCCGATTTCGCCGCGGCGGCGGCCACGCGGCAGTGGGTCCCGACCCTTGTCTTGGGGTATACGGCGCTTTTGCGGGTTTTCAGCCCTCTGCCGTCCCCGGGGGGGGATTTCCCTCTCTGTTGAAGGCCCCCGAGGCCTTTCTCCCCCTTCCCTCGCCCGCCCTCGCCTCGGCGCTTCGGGAGCCCGGCATCATGGCGAAGATGCTGCTGCTGCTGCTGCACACCGCGCCCGACCTGTGGTTAATCAGCGCGATTTTGCACCACTGGTGGGGTTCCCTCCTCCGCCGCGAGGGCGATGGGGGGAACTTCGACGCGGCTGCTGAACCTTCCCCGCCGGGGGTGCTCGACCCTGCCGAAACGACCTCTCATCGCCGTGGAAGAAGGTTGGCCCCTCGGGTGGAGATCGCGCTGTGTGGGCTGCTCTACCACGCCGGGTTGACCGCCGGCGCGGTGCGCTCGTGGCGGCAGGCCCAGCCCCGCCCCATCGCGATTCCCCCCCCTCCCGGACGCGATGGGGCCGGGCAAAGGGCCGATTCGCTGCCCGCCGAGGCCGCCAGGTGGCAGGCGCTTCAT